ACATCATTTCACAGTCAGGGCTTTTCATGCAATGTACACTCGGTGCTCAAAAAAGCACCATGAAAACCCCACACTTTGGTGTTTCCGGGTACAACCGTCTGGAAAAGCTCGGCTTCCGAGGGACGGAGACTGTGCCCTTTGACCTTTCGGTTGCCCCATGGGACGTCTGTCCCGAGGAAGCGGGAGCATGCGGGAAGCGCGGGGGCGGCCCTTCGCGTGTGCGGGTGCCTCCACCGCTCCGCGCGCGGTGCCTCTTGATTCAGAGTCGACCTGATTTCGCGATCTCTGGACGCCTCAGCCGTCTCTTCCATCTCGCTGCCCTGTCGTGGCATCAGTGACCAGCTGGCTTTGAAACAGCTCAGCGTCACACCCACTGGGGTTACTGATGCCCCGCCCCCTGGGGCGACCTCCCACAGCGCCCAGGCTCCATGCTCCCAGCCTGTGCTGCCACGCGTGGCCGTGCACTGCCCGGCAGCACTCCCACTCATCGTGGAAACCGGTGGCCCTGCCTTGCCACTGCTCGCTGACCATTTCTCACGGGACCGAGCTGCCTCAGGGTGTTTCTGGCCGAGGGAAACGTCGGGAAGCTGGGTCTCTGCGTGGCCAGGCCACGTCTGAGGGGCCGGTAGCAGGAGATGGCGGCGGGGGAGACGGGCACCCGCGGGCCTCCTCGTGGGCGCTGACCCGTGTCCTCCCGCAGGAACAAGCATATCATGATCGACCTGGGCACCGGCAACAACAACAAGATCAACTGGGCCATGGAGGACAAGCAGGAGATGATTGACATCATCGAGACGGTGTACCGCGGGGCCCGGAAGGGGCGCGGCCTGGTGGTGTCCCCGAAGGACTACTCCACCAAGTACCGGTACTGAGCCCCACCCCGCCGGGCCCTGGAGCGCGGGCGAGGGCCTCGGCCCCTCTGCGCGGCTGCTGTGTTTCATGCTACCAAATTCCTGTAAATATGTCGCTGACGTGAATAAAACGCACGGTGCTGGGAGCAGTCGTAACCGGCTGCTTCGCAAGAGGCTGCGTGTGTAGATGACCGACTGTGTCCAGCCGCCACGCGGGGCGTCCTCTGGGGTGGAAGTCGGGGCTCTGTCCTGCCCACGTGGCAGTGAGACGCTGTCTGGGGCTCCAAGCAGTGCCGCGGCTGGGTGACGTAGCAGGATTTTGTGCCACAGGCCTGGAGACGCAGCCCGACCCAGGCGTCTGTCCCCAGCCCTCTCCCGGCCCTGCAGTCTCTGGCAACCTTGCACACCCTCAGCTTGGGGGTTCACGGCTTGGGGGTTCACCTTTGTGGCCTCCCTGTGTCTGTCTGAATTTCTGCTTTTCTAAGGACGCCTGTCACTGGATGAGGGCCACTCGGCTCCAGCAGCAGCCCCATCTCCATGTAAGGTCACCTCCCGAGGTTGCCGGGGTTAGGACCCCCAGTGTGTGAATTTGGGGGGTGGCGTGCAATGCAGCCCACACCAGTCTCAAGGCTTGAGTCCAGAAAGAAAACACACTTAAGGAAAAAGTCTTGTTTTTCTGGTTCTGAAAAATGTGCAATGAAACGGTGGTCTCTGCCTTTTCCGTGTGAAGAGTGGGTGGGCCCCGCCCGCCCGAGAGGGCGGCGAGGGCCCTGGGCAGCGGAGTCGGGGGGAACATGGGGTGTGGGG